GGTAGGTAGGGTTAGGGTAGGGTAGGGTAGGTAGAGATAGGTAGGGGTAGGTTGAGTTTCAAAAAGGGCCCACATACAAACACTTGATACCCCGCAACTATCACCCTCCCTTACAGTTTTAAAAACAGCTACCCAATCTACCCAAATAATATAGCTAAAAATACAAGTCAATCACCCAAAACTAATGCACCCGTAACATAACATAAATCAAAACATACAGTTATCGCGTAAACCTGTACCTCTAGTACTGGTTAATAAATCATTCAGTGAGACAAGAGATGTTCCGGAAGAAAAGACAGTGAAGCAGGGCACAAAATCAGACACAGGCAACAAGCAGACGGAAACTGACTTGACAATTAACACATTGATTAATAAATCATTCAGTGAGACAAGACATGTCATGTACTAAGCCAGACACAAACACAAATACAGTATAATCTGCCTAATAAATTATCGGATCATTTATCCAACAGCTTATTGTGGCCACTTCAGCAGGCGCCGCTCATGTATTTCTTCATAGAAGCATAACAGCAGACTCCGGTCAATAAAGCCAACGCTGACTAATTAATCCAAAACCTCGTGTCCCCACGCTGTATTCATAAAGCGGATTCCACTGGTACACACAAGTAAAAAGACAATGACTCACCCATAAAGACTCGAGCTCCTCGGCTGTGAAGTCTCCTTTTCTGGCCATCTGCCAAAGTCCATCCACCTTGGGCTCTATAAAGTCCCTCCCATCAGGCCCACTGATACTTGCAACATGAAGCCGGTCGTAGCCACGGTTAAGTTCTTCATGGAGATCACTGTGGGAGAGAGGTGAGAAGTGTGGCTGGGTGAGAATCTCAGAGAGAGAGAGAGAGAGAGAGAGAGAGAGAGAGAGAGAGAGAGAGAGAGAGAGAGAGGAGAGAGAGAAAGAGAGAGAGAAGAGAGAGAAGAGAGAGAGAGAGAGAGAGAGAGAGAAGAGAGAAGAGAGAGAGAGAGAAGAGAGAGAGAGAGAGAGAGAGAGAGAGAGAGAGGAGAGAGGAGAGAGAGAGAGCACATTGGAAGAGAATCTCTCGCTGAGTGATGGATCTCTGTGTGATAATTTCTCCTTTTCTTTTCTCTCAGTAAGAAAACTTCTACCTCTGAGCCATATCCCACGTTCGGAGTCTCTCGGACGACGAAGATTCTAACGTTGTTCGGCCAATCCCGTTCCATAACCGCAGTCAATTACTCACTTTATCCGTGACTTGTAGTCTGTGTGTGACTTGTTCCTCTTTAGGTTTTGCGACGGTTTGACATCCGATCTGAAACATAACCAGGTCAGGTCAGAGCGTGAGGTCATCGTCACGATGTGACGTCAATGAGTGACGTCATACCTCGACGATGTATGTCGAGGTATTAAAGTCATCCATTGACTTCATTTGTAATCTCAACCACTCTCGTTAGGATGGGTGAAAACCAGTTATCAATAGACGGGGGACACAGTAGATCAAATGCGTATTACAAACGGATCTCAAATAAATATATGCTGAGCGGATAGGAAAACCCGTTCCTGATACGCGCTTACCGGCCCATGCATAAGGTATGTAACCCCGGTACTAGACATAATTAATGCTGAAATTTAGTTAGCTGATCGGAGTCAGCTAAGGTTAGCCTGTCGTTATCACTAGCTAAGTTTCTATGACACAAGTTAAGCCGATTTTGCAAAATGGATTTGCTCCATCCTAGCATTTAGGCAGCATTAAAAAATGTAAATATAGGATTAGGTGCTAGCTAAAACAAAATGTACGCTCGTTTTGTGCATAAGGCGAATAGTATCCGAGAAAAACGCACGTGAAATTTCTCTAAATCAATATTTTAGACGTGTCATGGAAACGAAGTGACTTTCAGAGCGGGTTTATTTTCTAATAAAGAAGCACGATTCTCTAACTGCAGTGAATTCGATCTATTGAGCACATATCTGTCAATAGCAGACAATCAGGGTCGTATAGGATATAATGTGTCCGTCTCAGCAATTCGCCCTAACATCAAATGCCCCGTTTCACGGCATACCGCTACCCGCATTATATGGTACTACCGCTTAGGTTTCTAATGGATACATTAGAAATTGCAACAACTTTGCAATTTCGCTTACATTTCCTAGAAAACCAAGGCGCTAGTACTACTAATGGGTAGCAGCATGCCGTGAAACATAACCTGGGCGCAGCTGTTTAGTCGTCGTTTATCATCAGTAGGCTACCAGGTTTCTCGGCTTCTCATGGGTCGAACTCACAAGGTCTGAGCGGTACACCAACGAGAGATCAAGAAAAGCCAGCTAACAACCTCCTGTATGGGGAAACCGTGAGCATGCTGGACACTGGTTAAAAAAGCAGACAGCAATCGGATAAATTTGACTGCGAGAAGTCATCAAACGGCTTCCAATGACGTCATCAAACGACTTCCGATGACATCACAGACTCACTCGTGAATGTTGTTGGACATTTCCTCCTGCTGTTCGCGCGCCTGATGGTGCTCCTCAACCAGTAGGTGGTACTCGTCCACTCGATCCTGATGGTGTTGAAACTCCTGCCGTAGTGCCTTCAGCTCCTCCTCTGTGGAGAACAGCTGAGGTTCTAAATCCGGTGCATCGTAGCTCAGACAGTTAATACACACATAATACATGGTAACACAGCACAGCTTACACAAATGTAAGATACATACAAGTGTCGGTCCATTCATCTAATATCGGTCCTAGAGAATAAAATCTAACCGTACCAGTAAAACGCCTTTGGGGGCGATCAACGGAGCGAGCGAGAGGGTGGGTCTTGCACGTGCGAAATTGCGAGGGGGTACCTCCAACTAACTTGTGCACTTCCGGTTCCTAACGATGTGCCAAATTTGAGCGCAATCGGCCCAGCCGTTCTCGAGATCTGGAAGCGGCACCCTGCACGTGCGCACGTGCAAAATGGGTCCCAACTGACTTCTGCACGGCACCCTACTAACCGGTCCCTAACCATGTACCAAATTTCAGCACAATCGGTTCAGCCGTTCTCGAGATCTGGAATCGACCCCTGCACGTGCGCATGTGCAGCAGCACCCCAACTGTGGCACATGGATACGCATTGCCTAGTGGGTGCCTTCCCGCATGCCAAGTTTCAGCGCAATCCGCCCAGTAGTTACCGAGATATTGCAATTGTTACAAAACTGACACCTCTTTGTTTTGCACGTGGCACGTGCATAAGGGGTCACCCACATGTATCGGGAATAGTTCAATACTTGGCAGAAGGAATGAAGCTACCCTACAAAAATTACCGCATGTAAATCGGCCAAGTGGTTGCTGAGATATAAGCGTCGCAAAAGCGTGACCACGGCCGGCCGGCCGCTCATACTCGGAAATTTCCGTTATTCTACGTAAGACTCCGCTCGCTTCGCTCGCTCCGTAACAAGAGCAGCCGGACGGATTTCAAAGCGACCGGCCACACCATATTTTAGAAGACATATCTCACTTGTCCTACATTCAAGCTGGAAATTTAGCAAGACTAGGTGTCATAGTATATATTTTTCAGCAGATTTTAGCTTTTAAAGTAGAGTTGGACCAGAAAAAATCGTACCCAAATGAAGCCTCCTGCAGATGTGCACCACAGCGGCCTCGCCTGGATATAACTCACGTGAAAAGCCCGACTTTTCCGCTTTCTCCCACAACCTGTTGAGTTTCTTGTCCTTGAATAACCGATGCATGGTGACTTTCGGCGTCGGTGTTGGTGTGTCGTCGGCGACACGGGCGTAAGCGTGTCCAGAAGGGTGATAGCGAGCCAGGCCGTATCGGTTGAGCGTTTCTGAGGGCACACATAGGCGATTGGTTGGGTTAGATGAGAGTGATATAGGATGCTTACCTGATTAACCCGCGCCCTGCTGGGGGGGGGGTGTTTGAACACCCCCCCCCTTGTGGTTTTTCGCGAATATCTCAAAAACGGCGGCGCGGAGCGCCGCCGTTTTTGGTACACCTTATCATACATCAATTCTACACAGGTTGTAAAAATTTCAGACCAAGGTCATTCAAGGTCAGGTCACCAGGTCACTTGAAGTGACCTCACCTCATAAAAAGTTTCAATGTCTGTCATAGCTACACCGAGTGACCGATCGCTTTGAAACTTTCAGCGATTGCTAAGAGCAATAGCATGTACAAAATGTATATCTCAGAATTTTTATATCGATGACCTAAGGTCAGGTCAATTTTGCGACCTCCCCATTATAAGTCAATGGGAGAAAATTGAAATGCGCCTCTTTTGGACGAAAGACATTATAAACACTCCCAAACACTGAATTACAAGTGGTTTAGACACACTGAACATGAAAATGGTGTCCGTGACCCTTGTTTATGCCCTGAGGTCATCTTAGGTCACGAATGGTATCTAACAGTTTTTCGGAAATAACTTTTGATAGAGGCATGCTAGAGCGATGAAAACGCCTTAGATGTGTTCAGCTCGACGATACGGATCGACTGATATGCAACATGACCCTTTCCGGTCAGGTCATGACCTTGACCTGAGGTCAAATTTTCAAGTTGACCTTTCAGGGTCAAGTTATAGTTCATTCGATGCGTCTTGACGAGAGGAACACGATGCCGGTAAAAGTAAGCTCGTACAAGGCTTGGGTCAAAAGTTATTGCAGAAAAAACTTTCCGAAAAAATCGGTTATTTTTGCAGTTTTTGCCCCCTGCAGGCAAAACCGTTGACGTTAGGTCAAATCTGAGAAAATTACTCAGAAAGGGCGTTAATAGGGCTATCGAATGCGCTTTTCCGCGGCGCTGTATCTCTATTGGTTCCCGAGTTATGCGTTGGCTTCTTGGAAATTGTCGACATTCGACCTGGAAATCGGCGAAATTTTGCCTTCAATGACCTCTGGTGACCTGACCTTTGACCTGGCCAAAAAATTGACCAAGGTGATTTCCTCGTTATTTTTGACGCTCTTTCGAACGCCGCCTTCCGCGTATCGCTACGTGGCCCAGGAGCCGAGTTAGAAGGGGGGGGGGGGTGTTCAAACACCCCCCCCCCCAGCAGGGCGTGGAAATCCAGGACCCCCAGCCGGGCGCAGGTTAATGTGACCTTGACCCCGACCTATGCTTGACTAACCCCAAGATGGATGTGACATTCGTGTAGCACTTCTATGAAAGATTGTGCACAGTTTTGACAGACTTTATGAAGAGAGACGCCCAGTGCGAGGTTCGAAAGTTCATGCTACTGAAAGCCCAATTTCAAGAGTTTGACCTGACCTTGACCGGACCTGGATCTCAAAATTCAACTTTCAAATGCTCATCGGCAGCGTCTCGTCGCGTTCTTTCGTTTGGCGCCTCGTGCGTTTCGCTGCGTCTAATGGTTCTCGAGTTATCGGCTGGGGGCATTTAACGCCCCCCCCCCCCATGCAAACGGCAGATGGCGGAATAGCCCAGCAACTGCCGGGCTCCGGCGTTTACACTGCGGCTGACATAAAACAAGCGCATTGCTCGTGGCAAGAGAATGCAAATGCTTTCATATTTTTATATTCTAGATATCACCGCTGACTTTCTGGATCAAGTCAATCTCAATGACCTATTTGTCAGGAAAACCAGGACCTGCTAGATTCTCCTAGAGAGAAGCAGATGAGTCCTTTCTAGGGTATTTTGGGGTCCTGATTTTTCTGAGTTTCACACTAGTTTTAGTTAATGTCATTTGTGCATTTGGGGTAGGTTGGATGCAGGTCACTTTAGGTCAACCTGCATTTGTCACACCAGTTCTTCTTGGCTAGTATTTGCCATCAGTTAGGTATGCCTCAGTCACACATTATGTAGTCTCCAAAAGTAGTTCTCAAATCCTCAAATGAATGCTTAACCCGCGCCCTGCTGGGGGGGGGTGTTTGAACACCCCCCCCCCCTTGTGGTTTTTCGCGAATATCTCAAAAACGGCGGCGCGGAGCGCCGCCGTTTTTGGTACACCTTATCATACATCAATTCTACACATGTTGTGAAAATTTCAGACCAAGGTCATTCAAGGTCAGGTCACCAGGTTACTTGAAGTGACCTCACCTCATAAAAAGTTTCAATGTCTGTCATAGCTACACCGAGTGACCGATCGCTTTGAACCTTTCAGCGATTGCTATGATCAATAGCACGTACAAAATGTATATCTCAGAATTTTGATATCGATGACCTAAGGTCAGGTCAATTTTGCGACCTCCCCATTATAAGTCAATGGGACAAAATTGAAATGCGCCTCTTTTGGACGAAATACATTATAAACACTCCCAAACACTGAATTACAAGTGGTTTAGACACACTGAACATGAAAATGGTGTCCGTGACCCCTGTTTATGCCCTGAGGTCATCTTAGGTCACGAATGGTATCTAACAGTTTTTCGCAAATAACTTTTGATAGAGGCACGCTAGAGCGATGAAAACGCCTTAGATGTGTTCAGCTCGACGATACGGATCGACTAATATGCAACATGACCCTTTCCGGTCAGGTCATGACCTTGACCTGAGGTCAAATTTTCAAGTTGACCTTTCAAGGTCAAGTTATAGTTCATTCGATGCGTCTTGACGAGAGGAACACGATGCCGGTAAAAGTAAGCTCGTACAAGGCTTGGGTCAAAAGTTATTGCAGAAAAACTGTTTCCGAAAAAATCGGCTATTTTTGCAGTTTTTGCCCCCTGCAGGCAAAACCGTTGACGTTAGGTCAAATCTGAGAAATTACTCAGAAAGGGCGTTAATAGGGCTATCGAATGCGCTTTTCCGCGGCGCTGTAGCTCTATTGGTTCCCGGGTTATGCGTTGGCTTCTTGGAAATTGTCGACATTCGACCTGGAAATCGGCGAAATTTTGCCTTCAATGACCTCTGGTGACCTCACCTTTGACCTGACCAAAAAATTGACTGAAGTGATTTCCTCTTTATTTTTGACGCTCTTTCGAACGCCGCTTTTCGCGTATCGCTACGTGGCCCAGGAGCCGAGTTAGAAGGGGGGGAGGGGTGTTCAAACACCCCCCCCCCCAGCAGGGCGTGGAAATCCAGGACCCCCAGCCGGGCGCGGGTCAACTTGTTATTGGCTCTGAAAACTACTCAAATAAGCATCAAAAATTAAAAGTTAACTGAGGTGACAGTGGGAAAGACGTGCAAATTATGGAGACAAGTGTCAGGTGCGCATTCCTACTTGCCAGGCATGCACTCCCATCGAACTGGGCGCACCTTGGGCGTACACATGCCACAGTTTTCCTTTCCAGTCTAGCATTTGGTACTATCAAATAATTCAGAGCGGAGACAACCTCAGTCTTCTTGAAGCTATTCTCTGTGAGCAGAGTAGCCTCAGCATGGAACAAGCTGTCTCAGGAGATCGTAATGTCTGGAAACACAAACACTTTCAAGAACCGGTTAGACAAGCTCAGGACCACTACGGCGCTGTCCTCTCTGTTTTACATCCACAGTACCTAAGTTACCCAGTCTGGCCCAGCTTAATGCTCAAAGTTAGCACCAAATAGACCCTGTCTACCATAGCTCACTATATTAAACTTAAACTTAAACTGTGTCTGTGGAACCAGGACCAAAAATCACAATGCCAACACTGTACAATGTACACTCTGTGTCCCTAGCTCACCAAGAAGCCTAGCGCGCAGCTGTGCCTCCTTCAGTCCGTCTTTGTCGCCACCCTCGTTCTTCAGCCTCTTCCACGTCAGCTCCTGCTTGTCCTGCAGTACGAGCTCGTCTCGCAGCGCCTCCAGCTTACCAGGACTGAGGACCTGCAGGAAGATACACACGTCAGTGACATGCGTGGCGCAGCTGGGATAATCGAATGAATGGTGTGGTGAACCTACCAAATATCCCAAATCAAATTAACATTGTCAGATATGGAACAGAATATCCACCTCAATTCTTAACTCAAAATACATACCTTCTTAGCTTTAGTCCATATCTGGTTTATCTTTGCCATCCTGAAAGGCACATCTTCCCTATCTTCCATCCAAATGCTCGTGCCTTTCTTCTGTTCGACCCTTTGAGGGTCATTAGCTTCTTTGCTGTATTTATTTTCAGCTGTAATACTTGTCACCAGTAAAAAGATAAATAATGCGATGGTTCTCATTTTTTTGCGTGAATAAACTTTTATATCAGCACCGACGAAAACTGAAATTGAAATGGCTGTAAAGTATGAACGAATAATGCACACAAATGCCAGTTACGTAAACAACCGAGTGTGGGCACACCGTGGGCCTGGGCGCACTAGCTTTTAGTGGCCTTAACTTACGTTATTGGGCACTAGACAAATTTGACACACAACCTGTTCCAATTTACTTGACTTGAATAATAAGCACAAATAAAGGTGCGACTTTTCTGCTGATTCAGCTTACGAAACAAAAACGAACATGAGCAAATTGAAATAGCGGCGTCACATATGTCTCAAAAAATTATATTATGTTCAATGAACTGGGAATGAAGAGAAGCTTCACGTTTGAATAAGCCTAATTCGCAAAAATTTGGTTCCAAAATATTTATTCGTGATTTCTTCAAGCTAAAACACATTTTATTTTACTGGAGCACATGGTTTGGCTACTTTACACTCCGATTGGATAGCTGCAAGAGGGCCCAATTTTGTGTTACCATGGAAACTACAGTGAACTGAACAGAACTGAGAGCTTTGCGCGAGCATTTCGTGCGAGTGCGCAAGCAACTAGAGGCGGCAAAGTTCAAATTCGTGAGAAGACACTGAGAAGCCAGCGGCCGATCCTTTTTCAATTTGGGTCCTAGAGTAAGTGGTAGGTACACCGTGGTAAGCGGCAGGAATTTCGTATCATGTAGGCTCCTGCTCCTGGCAGAAAAACCGTGAGCTGTGTTATTTCAATTTTGCTCAATTGCAATGCAATCAAAGCTCAATTTCTTCATGTGATACCACGGGATGAACGGATCCTATCCGCTGATCCGCATATTCCAGATTATCAGAGATTTTCAGGTACAATTGGTATGCTTTCAGTGGACAGTGGTGGCTGTGCCATTGCAAGTTGGAAACAACTTTGTTTTGTCCATTGGACATTTTAAAGGACAATGGTGAAAACAGGGCGCCTGGGCTGGGGCCATTTGATCAAGTTTCGTGAAATTCACACGTGACGTTCAGCACATAGAAGGCCCACAGAGGGGAGAAGTTCCAAATGTCACGTGACTAATATGCCCTCCGGCGCCCTGTTTTCACCGGCGTCCGTTTTAAAGGGACCCTCTTGGCTCTCACCTTCAAAAAGTTCAATACCCACCTGGTGAGCTGGTAGGCTTCCTGCCTTCACCTTAGCCCTATGAATTGGACTTTCAGATTGACGATAGTGAAAGCCTTTTCAAATAGACGCTCTGGCTCAATAAATAAATAGATGTCATTTGTTTCAAGTTGTTTGTGAGCTGGAGGTGTGCGCCAGCAATACAGATGTGCTGTCATTAGTTGTATTAACAGTGTTCAACAGTTAGACAAGACAAAGAAGCCGAGCCAAACGCACAAGCAAGGCAAGCCAAAAAGCAACGACGAAAATCGTGAGATGGGAATCTGGGACGCAATGGTGGTTATTGATCGCTAGTGATGGTGGTTATTGATAACTGTGGTTAGTAATTGGCATGGAAGTGTTGTACCTACCATGGTTCAGAAAGAGGGTCCTTGCTAACAACTGGATTGAATCAGCTGACTGGCCAGCTGGTGACATACAATACTAGCCATTAATATTTAGTCTTTCTTATTTCTAGTATTGATACGTAACAAGCTCTGCTAGCGCCACCATATGGCACCAGCTGGCAAATAATCCAATTAATAGTATGGCTCAGAAAGAGTCTATCATTTGGAAGCAATAATTGGGTATGTTAACAGTGTGGCGAATGCTACCTAGTAAAGGCTATTCAGTATATATCTGCAACCACATCAATAATTGTCTTAAACTAAGGTCTAAGTAAATATCTAGACCTGTGCTGACATCACAAGTTCTAAGGGGCATTGGAATGCTTTAGCTCGTTAAAATCCAAAAACTGCAGACTGAAATTAAATATCTCTGAATTAAAGCATTTCTCAATGAGTTCCCAAGCCGGTAAGTTCAAGCCTGGGACCCCAATTTGGCCTGGACCCTCGGGGTGGAGATCGGTATGGATTATGGAAGACCTTGTTGGACGTCGCGTCGCCGAGCGTCGTGCAGTAATGCTGCAGTGGGTTCCTGTCCTGCTCACTGGTATCAAGGAGAATGAGAGCGCGGACGACCTGGCGAAACAAGCGGCCGCCCTGCCCTCTGACGCCCGCTCGATGATCAGAGTGGTTCATTGTGCGGCCTAGCGTCACTGGCACGTCAACTGGTCCGAGTCACTATTCAAGCCACTCCTCGGGAGCACGCCGCCGCTCCCTATCCCCGGAGAGGACCGAGAGGACGCTGTTACGGTGCACCAGGTGAGGGCGGGGCCCGTGCCACTGGGCCCATTCGCTCCAGTGCCTGTACTCGTACCGGAACGGCTGTCTGCCCTCCAGACGTGCCAGCAGTGCCCAGACAAGCGGTGCCCATTGCCCCGCGCCGCTTTGCGCCGTGTGCCGAGAAGAGGCTGATGTGCCGGAGCATGTGCTGCTCCGCTGCCCGGCCCTCACTGGCGCCCGCCAGCCTCAAACACATCGCTCCGCCGATTTTTGTGGCCCCGGAAATTCCAGCAAGGGCCTTGTTTCACGGCACGACGCTACCACCTTGTTTCACGGCACGACGCTACAGTGCGCTATGCATATTGTGATATTGGGTTTCCGTGGAAAAAAACTTATTCGAACGCTCAAACATGGGAACGTTCAAGACCCCGGAACGCTCTGTCTGTTTGATAAAGCCTTGATCAGTAGATGTGCACATGTGCTTTGTATAAAAGTGGCTTGATTTTGGCACAAATAGGCAGCCAATTTTCAGCGCAAATCATGCAGAAATTTCAGCGCAAAATCGCTTGCGCCGAATTTCGGCGCATGAGGTCCCACGGGCGTCCGACGTAGTGTAAGGTTTACCAGCCTGGGCTTAGGCCCTGAGAGGCTGACCCATAGGTATGGATCAGAATCGTTTAACCCTATTCCGGGCAGGCTCTGAAAGGCTCTATTCTGGGCGGGGGGAGGGGGGCTTTTCAGCCCCCCTTCATATCATGAACATGATACATAAGCATGATATCTACATTTGGGGTGTGTCAGGCAGTGCTCGTTTAGCGAGCCATCTGGCGGTTTATCACTACCGCCAGCTGCCTGGCCCACGGCGCTGCCAGTCTGAGCTGTACCTCCAGCCTAAAGGTGCCTGGCGCTCAGCCCTGCCAGTCTGAGCTGTACCTCCAGCCTAAAGGTGCCTGGCACACAGCCCTGCCAGTCTGAGCTGTACCTCCAGCCTACAGCTGCCTGGCCCACGGCGCTGCCAGCCTGAGCTGGATCTCCGGCCTACAGCTGCCTGACGCTCAGCCCTACCAGCCTGAGCTGTACCTCCAGCCTACAGCTGCCTGGCCCACGGCGCTGCCAGCCTGAGCTGGATCTCCGGCCTACAGCTGCCTGACGCTCAGCCCTACCAGCCTGAGCTGTACCTCCAGCCTACAGCTGCCTGGCCCACGGCGCTGCCAGTCTGAGCTGTACCTCCAGCCTAAAGGTGCCTGGCGCTCAGCCCTGCCAGTCTGAGCTGTACCTCCAGCCTACAGCTGCCTGGCCCACGGCGCTGCCAGCCTGAGCTGTACCTCCGGCCTACAGCTGCCTGACGCTCAGCCCTACCAGCCTGAGCTGTACCTCCAGCCTACAGCTGCCTGGCCCACGGCGCTGCCAGCCTGAGCTGTACCTCCAGCCTACAGCTGCCTGGCCCACGGCGCTGCCAGCCTGAGCTGGATCTCCGGCCTACAGCTGCCTGACGCTCAGCCCTACCAGCCTGAGCTGTACCTCCAGCCTACAGCTGCCTGGCCCACGGCGCTGCCAGCCTGAGCTGGATCTCCGGCCTACAGCTGCCTGACGCTCAGCCCTGCCAGTCTGAGCTGTACCTCCAGCCTAAAGGTGCCTGGTGCTCAGCCCTGCCAGCCTGAGCTGCACCTCCAGCCTACAGCTGCCTGACGCTCAGCCCTGCCAGCCTGAGCTGTACCTCCGGCCTACAGCTGCCTGACGGTCCAGCCCTGCCAGCCTGAGCTGGATCTCCGGCCTACAGCTGCCTGACGCTCAGTCCTACCAGCCTGAGCTGTACCTCCAGCCTACAGCTGCCTGGCCCACGGCGCTGCCAGCCTGAGCTGGATCTCCGGCCTACAGCTGCCTGACGCTCAGCCCTGCCAGCCTGAGCTGTACCTCCAGCCTACAGCTGCCTGACGGTCCAGCCCTGCCAGCCTGAGCTGGATCTCCGGCCTACAGCTGCCTGACGCTCAGCCCTACCAGCCTGAGCTGTACCTCCAGCCTACAGCTGCCTGGCCCACGGCGCTGCCAGCCTGAGCTGGATCTCCGGCCTACAGCTGCCTGACGCTCAGCCCTGCCAGTCTGAGCTGGACCTCCGGCCTAAAGGTGCCTGGAGGTCCAGCCCTGCCAGCCTGAGCTGTACCTCCGGCCTAAAGGTGCCTGACGGTCCAGCCCTGCCAGCCTGAGCTGTACCTCCGGCCTAAAGGTGCCTGGAGGTCCAGCCCTGCCAGCCTGAGCTGTACCTCCGGCCTACAGCTGCCTGACGGTCCAGCCCTGCCAGTCTGAGCTGGACCTCTAGCCTACAGCTGCCTGGCGGTCAGCCCTGGCAGCCTGAGCTGTATCTCCAGGTGTCCGGCTTCCCTGTAAATGCCGCGACGCTGCGTTCCCTTGACGGTGGCGCCAGACTCTTGGAGGTCCGGGATCGAGTCCCTCCGGCGTTCGATATTTGGTGCTTCTGACGGGGATGGTCTGCGGTTGGTGGGAGCAGCCGCAGCCAGTTGAAGTCAGTTGAGTGAGGCAGGCCGTGTCTGGCTTTGAAGTGCACGTGAAACTTTTTGAGAGGTTATTATTCTGACCGATCTATGGTTTCAGGGCCTTCTGACCATTTTAACCTGTTTTTTATTTCTTTTGCTTATCTCGTGCCCTATTTATCTGTGCACTATCGATCTGACAGGCTTAAAAATCCGACTACAACACAATGCCTGGCTATCATTCACAGGTGACTGGCGAACCAAGTGATCTTTCATCATGGGGAAGACGGCGACCCAGCAGGTTAACAAGAATGCCATCACACTGAAGGGCTCGGCAGAAATCGTCGCCGAATTTTTCAGTGAGTTCTTACTTCTTCCAGTGTATGCTGGGTGTTATGCAGTTTCTGGCTGGGTTGGCTTTGTAATTTTTCGTTGTTTCTTTCAAGTCTCAATGCTGTGTTTGGTAGGTACCGTTGTTTCTTTGTTGTTTTCAGTGAGATTCCGTGACGTGTTTCCTTTACCGCGACGGTATTTACCATTTCTACCGATGGTTGAGTCTAACGTCAAATACCAGCTTTTAGCGTCACATTTCCCTTTTAACGAATTTCAATCGTTACATTTACTGGGTGACGGACTTTAGTAAAGCTAACTCTGACTGTGACGCTGATGGCACTGACTCTGACTGTCTCTGACGCTGATTCTGGCTCTGACTCTGACTCTGACTCTGTTCTACAGATTTCGGCATCAACTCAATACTCTACCAGCGCGGCATTTACCCGGCCGAGTCGTTCAGACCGGCCCAGAAGTACGACCTCACACTGTGGCTGTCACAGGACAAGGAGGTCAATGGATATCTCAGCAACATCATGGAACAGATCAAAGGTACCCAGTGACGTCATTTGTGGTGCTATCACTTGGTGCCCGATGACGTAATTTGATGTCATTTTATCACCTGGTAACCAATGACACTGCATGGTAATGCTATTGAGCAGATGAAAGAATATCATTATGTTCCCTACGTGGGGCGTCCTAATTAACCTAATTTCAGCATTTGGTGACAGGGATATTAATAGTCGTGTTGACAAATGCCTATTCGAGACAACTTTGACCGTCCATATAGGTACAGTCCTCAGCAGACTGCGTGGTAGGTATTCTTTTTTCGACAAAGCCAGTAATAACTCAAAGACTATGTTGTCAGTCGGTCGGAACTCACTGAAAATAGAGGCGCCATGCTCTACTCCTTCGATTGGGTATATCACTAAACAAAGTATATGCCTTGTGTGGCAAAAAATGCAAAAGTTTGTTTTGGGGGCAAATATAAACTTTTGGGTTTTGTTGCCAAACTGGATGGAAAATGAATGCGATGGTAATGCCAATCTAAGGTGCGGAATCTCGCGCATCTTGCTGTTATGATTTCCGAGCGACCGATAGCATAGTATCCGCGTTATTCTCGGTTTTGTCGAAGAAAGAATACCTACCACGCAGTTTGCAGAGGGCTGTACGTAAGCTCATAGCGTAATGAACCGTATCACATCAAACGAATCTCCTGCCTCAGTTCCAGTTTAGATGGAAATCCGTGAAGTATACCTATTAACCCTCGCCGGCACTGGCCAATTTGCGTCCTTCGACGGCACAAGGAGGGAGGGGGGGGGGGTACGACCCCCTTGCGTTTGGCCCCTGATCGAGCTAGAGCTTCGCGGAAAAAACGATCATGTTGCCGGTCACGAGAGGAAGCCGATGATACCCAAATTTAAGGTCCTAGGGCATCGGTTGACCTTCCAGGTCAGGTCAATGACCCAAAAGTCGGCAAAATCGGGATCTGTTGGAAAATCGTAAAGTGTGGCTGTGTAACAGCTGGAAGCTGTGACATTTTTTCTCCGTACGTCAAAAAGGACATCTCTCACACTATACGTAAGGACGATCGCACTGCCTGCCGCGGCGCTGAACCGGCGTGGGGAGGGAGTCGACCATACGATCCCCCGACCCGTCGGCCGGTCACCATTAAGCGAAGATCAAAGGCTCGCCGAAGGGTGGAGTACAAACACACCCATCCGGGCCGGCGCAGTGGCCGCCGACAAACGCAACGCAGCCGGAAACATCTGCTCCCGGTGCTGGACCAGCCTCCCGACACCCTGGACATCCGCCGGGGATGGACAGAAAATTCGAACGGAAATGGGGTGCGAGAAACGTCACGTCGGCGGAGGAAGGAGGGAGGAATGAGTCGCGCCAGATCAGTCGCTGACAGGATACATTTGCGGTTAGCCATCCGGCGGCCGGGCCGAACACCCGGGCGAGTGAGAATGTCACGATTCCGGCGGAATGGAGGGTGAAGCGAGGGGGGCCAGTCGGCACCGGATGCCGACAGGAAAAGGCCAATTTTCAGCCCCGGTGACGGAAAGACTGACCACCGGGCGGAACCGGTAATTGAAAATCACGGAGAACAAAACTCAATGCAGAAGGAGAGAGGGGGAACAGACTTCGGTATCAGACCACGGGTGACAGACCACGAGGGGGAGGGCTCATCTGGACGGCGGGTCGGCCGGCACGTCTCAGTCTGAGGCTGGCCGACCCCACCCCTGCCGGAGCGAAGGGACTCTGCTGTCGCGACGGAGATTCGACGTGTTCAACAAACTGTCAAGTGAGTCATCTCATCTGTCCGCCTCATCAAGACTGCCTCCCCGTCATGGACAATTCACCTCCCATTTACCCATCGGATGTCTCTGATCTGGATTACAAATGCCACTCCCTGAGGTCTAACTTGAGCCACCATTAGGAGGGTAATGGGTTAACACCGTGTAGGGGAGGGCGGTAGGATGGTCTCGCGCGCTCCATATTGCGTCCCGGCCGGGCAGGCCGCGGTACGATCTGTTTGTAAGGGTGGGCAGACAGGCTAATGGGCCCGAATGGTCTGGCCTTGTCTGTGGATAGAAGGGAGAGGGGTTATTGGGAAGCCGGGGCGGGTCAGTAACAGCCCGTGCGCGCTAATGGCTCATCTTACACTTGTATTGGTGCTAGCACTAGTGTCGGTCATTTGCGCTCGCGGCCCGACCGCGGTAGGGTGCGGGGGCCAATGCATTAGAGGGGAGGGGAACAGGTCAGGTGGTGTCATTTTTGGGGCGCTGGTCACCACTGACGCGTCAAACTACGTCAGATGACGTCATGACAGTTCAATTGGCGATGCTTTGTAAATAATCTTTTTGCGGTTAGGGCGTTAGGATTAGATTTAAGGCTAAGTTGGCATTGGCGAGCTGACAACCGATCGTGGTACACCGGTTGAAATTGACCAGTATTGTATCGTCCGTTTGTAAATATAGCGTGAAAATTTAACAATCTGTCTGGGAAAGAAGGGAGGGTTACCTCAGATATGTTGCTGATTCGGATTCACAGAGACCGCTAGCGTAATTATCTTTAAGTTGTCACGTCGACCACACGACTTTACGCCGGCATAACCTCACAGGCTCACCGGGACTGCATCGCGGCGATCTGATCACGAATCAACGGAAACGCAATGATCACGCCCTCACGACGCGACCACCACAAATTCGTTTTTTTTTTTGCTAGTAGGTCAATATAAGCTGCTCTACAATCTGACTTGGCTGGTCTCGGTAGATCAGCGTTTCAATCCACTATCAGTCTAGTGTTAATCCAAGGCGTATCAATCGATTCTCAATTCTTACAAAGTGCTATTCGAGATAAATCGACGGTCATCGTAGGATTGTCACATTCAGGGGATAGACTCATCATTCGGATACGGTTTGTCATGAAGGCGGCCCAGAAGTCGTAATGTGTTCAGTTACAATTGGATAAGGAGAGTACGACATCGTAAACGTTAAACATTATTCTGCTCCTTCGACAGCTCAGCGCCAGAACAAGACTGAATTGCCTTCCGGGTTGTTATTAAATCAGCATTGAGTCGTTTCGTGATTCGCGTTCATATAACCGATACAAATCTGAATCACCATTTCAATCGTTATAAATTTATCGCTGTTCGTAACCTGTCATTCAATCCCCCTTTCTCCCCTAGCATTATCAGTACCTAACTGACATTGATGCCAGCTCCCCCTTCGAGGTATATCAAAGATTAACGCAGAAATGTCACGGTTGTTAAATTGATGCATCATTTGAGACCTTTAATCATAAACGTCAAGCGAGTTACCGTTCGATGTGACGTGACTATGACAAAATATGTCACCCTGCTTGTACTCAACTAGAGTTGGTTACGGAGGGAAGCGAGGAATTACCACCGCCTATAATCACCATTCAGGTATGACAGGGACCGTTTTGTTCAGATCGGATTACTGAACGGTCTGCAGACCCCAATTAATTGACAGGAACCATGTAACGTGCACGGTCACACCACGCATTATGCCGCCGGGCAGCATTGCCTACACTTCCAGCCCAATCATGTTAGTTAACACCGGGATTCGGGAACGTGATCACGCCCACCCGTTCTTTGAAGTAGTTAATGTGAGTAATTTTGGGAATATGTTGGGCCCCGTAGGTTTTACTAAAACTGAGCGATTGTAGTCAGAACGAAATGGAAAACGTATGCCCCTTGACCTTAAACAATTAACAGGTTAATAGCTGCACCGACGGCAGCGCCCCTAGCGCCACCTACAAGACCCAACTCTTTCGGTACAAACTCCGACAGCGCTCAGATGCAGCTGACAGTGCCACCTGGCGTGAAATAGGCCGGGCTGGTTCCCAATACGGCCGCGAGAGCTCGCTCGTGTGCACGCATTTATGCGTGAGCTGAAATAAGAGAGTGAGTGAGTGAGTGAATGAGTGAGTGATTGATTGAGTTAGTGAGTGAGTGAGTGAGTGAGTGAGTTAGTCGGTGAGTGAGTGAGCGAGTGGGTGAGTGAGCGAGGGAGTGAGTGAGCGAGAGAGCGAGAGAGAGAGAGAGAGAGCGAGAGCGAGCGAGAGAGAGAGAGAGAGAGAGAGAGAGAGAGAGAGAGAGAGGAAGCAAATGTTTAATTCAGTCTTTACAAAGATCGACCCCATAAATGAAAGGTTTTGATACAAATTAGATGCGTAGCACTCTACCGCCACCTAGCCAGTGTAGCCTACAACTACATCCACTAGGCGGCGCCAAAAGCGTCGATGAGTCGACGCTCGATGAGTCGATGAGTCGAGAATGGTCGCCGGTCAGGTGTGGAACAAGGTCATGCCACCGCTAAGCTCATAATTACAAGCATTTAAGGATGCTTATCACCTAACCCTCCACGTTGGCTTAATTTACAAATCTTGTATATGTAGATTCAATGAAATATCTTTTGTTTAAAGGACTCAGACCAACAACAAGCCAAAGGTCTGAGTTTCAACTTCGTTTCAACATCTAAACTTCATAAGATAGCTTTTGATCACAGGGCACATTCTCTAATGATCTAAATAACATTTAGTGATCATTGCATTGGAATACGTTCAATTTGTCGAAACCTTTCAAGTAAGGCGTGATAACTCATTTAACCAGCAGGCAAAAAGTGACCGTCATGCTAATCCAACCCAGCTAAGGCAAACGGCAAGGACAGTTGAATCTCACGAATGCTATCCGCCATCCGGTCCCCATCGGATTGGAGAGCGCTGGCCCAGCAAGCCCTCAGCCGCACCGCGAGCAATGCACCAATATGGACCTGCTGAGAGAAAGAAATTATCTGTTAAGACAGCTGAACGCACCCTTCTTGCAACGATTGACCCATGCTGACCTCAGTAGAAAAGACGGACAAATTTGCGGGTGGTCAAAAGGGGGAGAAATAGACAGCAGTCACATATGATCAAAATTGAGTAAATCTTGGTGAACAACTCTACGGTCTAATTCTGGGAGAAGCTGGTTACCTTTGTCAGTCGAAACCAAACTGTACATCGCGAGGCATGCTACCGAC